AGGGCTGGGCACGGCATTAGCTCCATCCCCAGTGCCGTGCCACCCATGTGCATCAATGCAGGAGTGGGGTGCAGCAGAGCAGCCCACCAGGTCTGGTGCAGAGACCCCTGTCCCTCCTCTGGGTCACGGTGGCTTCATGCTGTCCCCTCACCCTCACTGTCTGCTTTTCCATCTCTCCATGGCAGGAAGAAATCGCTGACGGGTGAAGAGAAGCGGAGGTAGGACTGACTCCCACCCCGGTCCCGTGCCCTGGGGACTGTCCCCTCTCCCAAAGGCTCTGCCACTGTCCTCAGTGGGGTCCCCAAGGCGAAGGCTGGTTATGCGCATGGGGGAACAGCCATAACTGGGGACCTGGCAGAAGGGTTTGCCCCACGGAGGGACCTTCCTAGGAGGGACTGTGGGGCTGGGATGGGGGTCACTTCAGTCACGCTCGGAGTGACGTGCCGGGCTCTGGAGGGGTGAGGGCAGCTGCCCGGACCCTGCCTGAGCCGTAATGGGGGCTGCCTCCTCCACTGGGCTCTTGGCGTGGGGGTCTCTCCATATGGCACCACCTTGGTAGCACTGGGAAACTATGCATGGTGGGCGGGGGGGACGTGTCACCACCCTGCCTCCGCATCTGCAGGAACAAGAACAGGCATGTGGGGCCGTGTCTGCAGGATCTGTCCCGCCCCGGCACTTGCACCGTCCATGGGTCGGAGTTCTGGAGCTCCTACCGCCTGAACATCACTGAGGTGAACCCGCTGGGATCCAGCTTCCGCCTCCTCGATGTCACCATGCAGGCCATCAGTGAGTCCATGTCTGTCCTTCTGTCCATCCCCGTGTCCATCCACCCCCTTCCCGGGTGGCAGCGGGGACCCCAGCACCCCTCTGCACGGCAGTGCAGAGTGACGAGGGCTCCCTGTCCTCTCCCGCACAGTCAAGCCGGACCCTCCAGAGGGCTTGGTGGTGGAGCCCATCCCCCTGGCCCCGCGGCGGCTCCACGTGAGCTGGAAGTACCCCTCCTCCTGGCCCAAGGAGCCCCACTTCCAGCTCAGGTTTCGGCTCCAGTACCGGCCCGTCATCCACCGCTCCTGGTCCGTGGTAAGCGGTGGGCGAGGGAAGGCGAAGCCGGCGTGGGAGCAGGGTGGGCATGGGGCCAGGGAGGGCAGCGAGAGGTGCACCCTCCTGCCCCACAGCTCCCCTCTGCCCGGCGCAGGTGGAGACGGAGAACCTCTCCGAGGTGATCACGGATGCCTTTGCCGGGCTGGAGCACGTGGTCCAAGTCAGCGCCAAGGATTTCCTGGATGCAGGGAACTGGAGCGACTGGAGTGCCGAGGCCCGGGCGACGCCGGTCAGAGGTGCGAGGGGGAGAAGCTAAAGCCCCCAGCATCCCTACCAGGTTGTGCCATCCCTCCAGCACCCTGGGCTGCCCCTCTCCAGCCCCTTCCCCATGGCACCCATTCCTCCAAATATCACGTAGAGCAAGCCCCAGCTCCTGGGGTCCCAAAAAGCTGGTCCTGTGTACCAAAAACTGGCCCCACAGTGGGAGGCAGAGCTGCAAGGGGGCAAAGCCTCTCCCAGTGCTGCTGCCATTTGGAGATTGCCCCCCACAGCCCTGGGGCAGAGCGGGACTCCCATAGCACCAATAGCACCCCGGGCGCACCCTTGGGCTCATGGGACCCCTGGGGCACAGGGGCACCCTTCTTTGTTCCTCTCTGTGGGTCCCTGGGGGTGCTGCCCATGATTTGGGGTGAGTGATTCCCATCCCCTCTCTCCTTCCAGACCCAGCCACTGCGGCGAGTGAAGAAACCACTACAGACGCCAGCCTGGAGAGCCTGGCCGAGGAGCCCTCTCATGCTCCCAACCCTGAGCCCATCAGTGAGTAGAGCTGGAGGTGGCAGGCAGGAGTGGGGGCTGCCTGCAGGCAGCTGCCTGCCTGGGCACACGCATGGCTGAGAGTTATGGGAAGGGTCTCTTGCCCCATGCCCGTGTGTGTCTGGGGTGCTGGGGTGCCCAGGAGCTTGCAGTAGGGTCCCCCAGGTGCTGGGAGCTGTTGGCATCCCTCAGCCGTGACAGTCTCTCTGTCCCAGACCGCAGTGACCCCCTGGAGAAGATGGCCATCCTGGTGTCCCTTGGGATCTTTGCCTTCTTTGTACTGGCCGCTGTTCTTGTCATCACCATCCTCATCTGGTAGGTTGGGTTTTGAGAGGGAGGGGTCTGCATGATTTCTGTCCCCATCCCACTCTGGCCCCTCAGCTCCCAGCATGGGGTGCCCCATGTCCCCCCAGCCCCACTCTGGGATCCCTGCCCAAACAGACTTGATGCTAGCCCCATAAGGTGCTTCATGCTCCCCTTGCCTCCCTGCCACATCAGTGCCTCTTCCCAGCACACCCCACCGGCTGCGGGCCTGC